GGATCATTGTACAGTTTGGTTCAAAGAGTTCAAAACACATTTCAGACTTCTAGCCTTTAATGGACTTTAAACTTTAGACTGAAATCCTTTTGCTCTGAGTGACCCTATCACTTATGTTTATTTTATTATAAGTGATTTAATATTTTCACTACCAAAACAATCAATGTGCTACTAAAACTTTACCAAATGTATTGGTAGCAGCTGTTTCGGTAGTGACAATTTTAGCTCATTTTGAGCATAACTTAAAAATGCTAGCCAGTGCATGACTAGCAAACACAGCTTTGAACAACTGTACATCATTATAAAAATCAAAGTTTATTTAATTGCAGAAAACATGCATTTGACGAGTGACAATTCTTAATATTACACACTGATTTACCTCATGTTAGTGTGACACACACTGATCTAACTGCTCACCATGTGGCCATGAGAAACAGTCATGCAGTTTTACTTCCTGCTCTAAAATGCAGGGGCGTGGCTAACACAAAGCTCCGCCTACGGACTAAAACTCTTTTTGTTTCGGTAATAACAAGAAAATGTGGGACGGCATTTTTTGAATAAAGTAAATTAAACTCATGATAAATCAAAATCTTAAATTTAAATGAACAAAACAAAAAGATCTTTAAAAAACATTGGAAAAAAAAGCCCAAAAATCTAAGTATTATTTTCACAAGTGGAAATTTAGGGGTTAGGGTTTGGGACAGACACTTCCTAATAAAAAGCACTCCATAAATGATGATTTTTGTAAATATTTAACTCAGTACTATCTCAATTAATGCCTTGGGTTTAAATAAATCAAAACATTATCTTGTAAATATCTAACGTCTGAATATTTAATTTTTTATTTATTTTTTTACTATGGGACTGCGGTTTGAACTAATTTGGTAGAATGGTTCATATATGTAAACAGTCTCTCTTCTGATTTGCTGAAAAATGAGTCCAGACTGAAACACTCCTTATAACTTCAGTGGGAAAGGGTGGAGCTACACTACTGTAGGCTCAAGGAAGGAGCTACAATCAAAGGAGAGGAATATTTACACGTTGGCCACAGCCATGCCGTATAACAAGCCAAGCTTCAGGCTAACAGCTAAATCCTGCATAGCTAGGGCCTAGGCCTTCCCTCCAGAGGGGGTGGGGAGTGTGGCATGTCTGCACCGTTGCGCTCCTAGCTCTCCAAACTCACAGTCCTTCCCATGTGGAAGCACAAACCCCTCCAAAATGTCGGCTCCCAATGCGGTTCTTCACAATTAGAGTCCACAGGCATAACAAACCCCAAACAACCCCAAACACTTTCCCCAAACACACAACTACACTGACAAGTCACCACTGTTTTTTTCAATAAGCCTCTAGTTTAGGGTTGACAGACGTCCAAGTTTTTCCCAGATCATCCTGGATTTTAATTCACTGTTTAGGAACAATGAACTCCATTTTCATATTTTAGGATTTCTTGTGAAGTTTAAACTACTTTTTATCCAATTAAACCACTCGTATACAAAGAATGGGTTTAATTAGTTCACATTACCCTAAATGTGGGGGTAATTATTTGGGAAAGGTGCACTGCTGGTGATATCTTTAGGCACTAGGCAGCACTGCAAAGCAATAACTGAGACGATTAGGTTCTGTGCCTGAAATGACGACAATCTACCTAAGATTAGCTCAGCTTGGCTCCAGCTTTCCTTAAAGAAGGCCAAACTCAGAAGATTTCCACGTTTAAACTTTCATTCATACTGAAAAAAAACAAAAACTGAAGTTTTTTTCTTTTATTTGAGTTTTCATGCAAACATAATAGTTTTGATTTAGTTTTAATTTTTAGGTCCATGCTTGTGAGGGAATGAATATACGTAAAATAAAACAGTGAGCAAAATTATTGCAGCCAAAGCACACGGTTTACATTAAATTTAACCTATGTATATGTATATACTTTTTACATATCATTGCTGTAATATAAAAACATGCATCTAAACAATGGTAACTTTACTGGAGAGGGAAAATGCTATTTATTTTGAATGTTAGTTACTGTAAAGAAATCTTATTCCAATTTTCTTATTTTATTCTGTTTTCCTGTATGAATATATCATTCACACAACACATTCACACTGAAAAAAGAGTCAACATAATACTTAACATAAACAGTAAACTAAATAAATAACAAGCATAAAAAAATTATTATTATTATTATTATTATTATTAATAATAATAATAATAATAATAATAATAATACAGAGCAAATCGATAATAATGAAAGATTATGGATTCCATAATTGGTCAGTAATCCTGGAGCATTTCTACTGATCAACTCACAACGAACTTTTCACACATGTAAAGGGCAGCTCCTATGTTTAAATGGTGTAGAAAAATAACAAGTAAAATATTGAGATTTTTTTTGGACAGCAACGATATGTTCAAAATATTTTTGAAAAATTAAAGAAATATAGCTTTACGATTAAAGAGGTGAAGGATAACACATTAGGTCTACATATGTCTACATCAATTTCAGGCCTGATCAAGCTTTACTACCAGGTCCCACAAATGCTTGCAATCACTCAGTAAAGAAGTAAACTCCAGAAAACTCTGCGGTCACATTCAGTTCGCCAAATTCGCTATGAGATTGACAATGACCTGCGGAGGAATGGCTGTGTGTGTAATGGTGGACTGACATTCAGATTAGCTTTTACAGTCCTGCAAGGCTGGTTTGGCCTTAAGGGACACAGGCTGGGTGCAGGGATAGACAGACTCTATCAAAATGAGGCGTCAGATATGAATCGCTTAACGGGCAAAATTGAGACATCAGAGCGAGGCTAATAAAGAGAGGTGTGAAAACAAGCTGCCAGTCTGATTTGTCTGCTCCATGTCTAAAATTGCGCAAACGGCCTTTTCCCTTCACTAGCCATCAGTCAATCAATCACTGACAAAGCTATCAAACAGAGACGTCAGTGGGTTTGTGCATAAAACGAAAAGGTTGAAGGTTAAAGGTGGAACAGAATACGGCGCCAGTGGTTTTGTGTATGTGTGAGTGTGTGTGTTTTTGGACATCAAAGGTGATGGAGTCACTTAGGGCCTAGGACTAACCTGTCAATCACACTGAAGCCTGCTCCGTGACAGCTGTAGCCTCTGCTTGCTTGTCAATGAGCAGAAAGGATGAGACAGCGGACGTAACAGGCAGTCACGTCAACACTGTTTATCTTAAATGGCCGATTTCTTTCGGTGAAGCACTCTCGCAGAGCGGACGAACACAGCTTGGGGCTGAGTCAAAAAGCTTCTTTATTAATGCACGCTACTACAGCTCTCAAAGCATTAAACCTGCCCCAAAGGCTCTTGCTTAAACCTGGTATGAAGCTCTATTGTATTGATACGACTTTTATCCCAGAGTGGCAACTATTAAAGCTTTTTTCTCCCCAAAATACTCCTCTCTCCATTCCCCAACAAAGGCTGTGACTTCACTGACCCTGTCACAGCATCGCCGAATACATGCTGTCTGGCTCTCACCCTCCATCTGGGGGTCAACATGACAGCACCATTATTGTCACAACGGACAAAGAAAAAATCCCAGAGGCCCAGAGAGCGATAATTACCCGCCGTTGGGATAATTGCAGAGAAAGATTTCAGTGCCTTCACCTCCGCTGTCCCCACAGGCCACTCAAACCTGACATTCACATCCAGCCATGCTGCGAGGGATGCACCAGTCTTGGGGAGTAAAGGCAGTGGTCCGCAAGTATGCACGAAAGCATTTTAATGCCCGTTTGGTGCCAGTTTATAAACTTTTTTTTACAGAAAACTTTATTTTCTACTAAACAACAGATTCATATTTATATAGCACTGTGCAAAAGTATTTATGTATTTATATATTTAGTGTTTCCACCCTTTAATTTTTAAAAGGAGACTTGCTTTCAGTTTTTTAAAGAAATCAGTGATATTGTTCCACACCAAAGTTGGAAAGTCTTTGGTGCATTTTTTTTGCTTCTGACAATCTAAGTAATCTCAAACATGCTACACATGCTTTCAGACCTATAGCATTGAGCTGTCTTCTCACAGTGGAAAGACTGTGGATGTTTCCAGGTCTGAAGCAGTAGTGGAGCTTGATCTTCTCCTCTCTCTCAAAGATGAAAGCTTTAAGTGCTGTTTATCCGATAGTGATGATGGTGTACCAGGTCTTGCACAGTCCCATTTTCTCTGTATCTTTTAGCAATGTTTTGAACTTGAGTTTAGGAATCTCCTATTTTTTCACTTACTTACCTTTGACTTTCCCCTTCCTTATGCAAGTAGATTATCTTATATTTCACCTTCTTATATATATAAGATATAAAGAAAAAAAAATAAATAAAGGTTGGTCTCTGACATTTGCACAGTACTGTTCTACCTTTGCTTTTATATTGGATTTTTACCCAATTGTCTTTCCAATTTAGATGCCCATGTTGGCTAAGATTGAAGCCAATAAAGCTGTTGTTGACTCCTAGCCACAGACAGCCATGGCATCTCTGGGGACCAAGCTGACAATCTCTTGATGATAGACTCAACACAGTGACGCCACTCAGGAACTCCATTATTCATATTTTAAATAAAAACAAAATATGGACCCCAAAACCCGAGGCGCTTACATATGCACAGTGTCTAACTGGCATTTCTGTATAGTTAGAACACAGCCGTTAGCCTAGTCAGCTGTTGTAGACTAGTAGAGTGATAGTTGCTAGTGCTAAATGCTAAAATTAGCTATGTAGGCGCATAAAAACACCTCAATCACGTTCAATGATCATGTCTGAAAAACATCTGAACCTCTTACTGCCTTTCAAAGATGAGGCTGAGGTTGCAACCATTGCAAAAATAATGTGTACACCACAGACAGATGAAACGGGTTCAGCAGCACCATATGGTTTCTGCTTCGCACTGCAGCGAGAAGATGGTAGTGATGGAACACACCAAGGCCTGCTGAGCCACCGCCAGGAAAAGCACAGCATCGTTTACCTGATACTGGGAGAGATGCAGTAAGTGAAGAGGTCCTTTACCTGCCTTAGGCCATCCCTGCTGTTCTGCATGATACGGAGGGCATAGTTGGAGCGTTGGCCCCTGCTGTTGAACTCGATGTGGCCCGTTAGACCTTCCAATTCTACCTATCCAGGAGAGAGGCAAAGACAGGCATGTTCAGACCTGGGGTCAAACACTGCAGGCTCTACTGCTTTATACACATCAAGCTTCAGCGCTACGGTAATTAATGGGATTGTGTTCAAAGAAAAACTCCCCGCTTCACTGTTAGCTGAAAATTAGTTAGCGATTTAGCAATAAAGAGGGCAGTGAACCCACATCTAAGCTTTCTAGGAATGAAAGCTTTTCTAGGAAGAAGAGTATAGACTACAGCTGCATGAAGTTTACTAATGAGAAACCGATATTCATCAGTGTTGAAGGGCTAAAGAAGATATCTCTGTTGCTTAGGATGAACACACTTCTGACTAAAACAACTGCAGTGCACTGTGAAACAGGAGTTCAGTGGTCTGCAAGTACATGGCAAGCACGGCATGTTGTTGCCTGTAACATATGGTCAGAGTGCCAGGATCAGAATTTGCAGTAAGAGGCTGGTATACCATGAAGACACTTCAAGCTGAATCATCTTAAATGTGTAAGTACAGTGATTCTTATCCGAGTAGTGCTCAGAAAGCTTTGTGCCACACAATTCGTCTGATTTCACCTCACTTACACCAGTGATTCTCAAACCGCATTTCTGCTCTTCAGTTAACTTCAGTTAAGTAAGAGTTTGTGAGTTCAGACTGTGCCTTCAACATGTTGGTATTATGAGGAAAGGCTGATTGAGGGAACTCTGAGAACCCCCCCCCATAGCTGTAGTAGGACTGATGTTGGACTGAGGAACAGAGAGGAGATGGATGGGGTGGCGGTGGGGATTGTGAACCCTTCATCACAGGAATGGAAGGTGAGGATGTGTATTTATAGGGCGTTAGATTGGAAGAAGGAGGGGTTTCAGGCATGTTCCTCCCCTCAAACTTCAGTTATAAAATAACTACATCAAAAATCTGGGGGTCCTTAAGCACTGGTTTGAGAACCATTGATTTATACTCACTGGTATACACTGTTTATACATTGTTGCTGCAGTAACAAACATACATAAATAATTCATTGTGAACATAAATATCACTCATTTTGAGAATGAATATTCAGGTGTTCATTCAGAAATACCAATGAGCTTTTAAATGCCTGCAAAATGCTGCCCTTGTTAAGACTTAAATAAAAACAATTTTGAAATGCAAAACTTTGTGATGACAATGACCTTTACATAGGGCTTCCTTGCAAACGCTGAGGCTGAAGCTTTAGCATTAAGGAAGTTATTTTAGTTATAGCAGCCTTAACCCATAGCTGAAAGTTGCTAACATTGGCAATACGGCTAATAAAAATGCTATGTTCAACATGCCTCATAAACATGCAATGTTCAATGGTTATGGCTGAAAACACCTGGCAAACACTCCAGTTAGACGACAACAAACAACTACGAGTTCTCATGTGTGGCCTTAACTTTTCACGTAGCCACTGTAAAACCTGCTGTATAAAATTATTATATATTATATAAAATCATAATTCCAGTATCCTGTGCAATAAGGAAAAAGGGATCCTTTGAACCAACAGTTCCCAAACTTAGTCCTGGAAGACCCCTTGCTCTGTACACATTAGGGTTTTCCTTGCTTCCAGGAAAAATGTGCAGGGCAGGGATACTCCAGGACCAGGGTACCTGTACTTTAAACAATTACTTAGGCTAAGCTTCCCGGAATATTGGATGTAAAGGAGGGATACTGATCCATATGAATGTGTCTGAAATGTGGGGTCTTTGGAATACACAATTTGGCTGTGGACCCCGGTCGTGTGACAGTAAAGCTTGTATTAAGGCTATAGGCCATTAAACATGATATCAGTTAATCACAAAAAGCCCATTTCCTGACAGACAAGGTCAAAGCTGGGGTTGTGTCCTTTCTAAACATATCCTGCAGAAGCATTGCAGGAAATGATGAATGTGTATGCAGCTGTAATAGAGCTGGTGATTGACAGCTTGTGGCCTCTCCCTGCAGGCCTGGGCCTCTTACCATCCTCAGGTAGTTCATCAGGCTGGTCCCATGCTCCCATATTTTGGATGACTTGCAGGATAGCTGAGTGGCCCCCACGTTCTGGCTACGATTCAGCTCCTGCACAGCCGCCACCACCGTGTGTACCGCATCAAACAGCAGTGCCGACGACAGCTGGAACACACACACACATAGAGCAGAGAGCTAGTGGTTAAACTCCCAGCCGAGTTTGATATTCCATTAGATCATGAAGAAGGCTTTGTGTGCTGATAGTGTGAAAAGCCCAACAAACTCTCCCTCTGCACAGCTGGTAACACTGACCATTCCAATTACATCTGACCGTACGGTGCTAAAGAGCAGGACGGGGACTTTTCCTCTCCACTCACTCCCATTACCGCACCGATGCTAACAGAGACTGTTATGGCCTTGCTTTGCACTGCATTACTAGACAGCACCACAACTTAGTCTAGGGGGTTAGTGTGGGCGGGTTTTTAAAAAAGCATGGCTGGCTGGACAAACTCCGAAATGTAAACACTATATTTCATGCTATTTTTGGGCAGCCAGGGAGGCGAAATGGAAAACAACTACTGCTGCCAGTGACTATCAGGCTGGCCACTGTTCACAGGTAATCAAATACTTAGTAAGCTGGGTCACGTTGTGAAATACCATATTTCCTAACTTTTTTAAATAAAAGCCTGCTGTGCTACATAAACACAGTTAACAAGTTTCATGTCCCAATCATTTTTCAGTTCATGTATGTAAACTAAGCTGCAAAGACTTGCAATTTGCAGCAGGTAGTCTGTAGCAGAGTTACTGGAGTTTAAAATGAGGGAGAAAAAATGATGAAATATTGTGCGCTGTTAAGAAAATATGCAGTCTAATAAGAAAAGACATGTCTGGCAAAATGTTAACGCAGACAAAACCGTGTTGTTCTAAAGTTATAAAATAGATTTTATAACAGTTCAGCAGGTTCAATGTTGAATCACTTACTGGAGCTTTCTGTAAAATCGCTTGATCCAGCAGCAGCAGAACACAGGCTTAAGTAAATGTCAATAGTGGGTTTCACTGTCTCAACTCAAAATATGAAATGTTTAGAGTCTGAAGTTCTTTCTCCACAGTTAACTAAATATTCATTTATTAACTCTTACAGATCCAATATGGAAATGTGCAAATATGATTATTATTAATAATAATCAATTGTTATCAGTATACTAATTATTGTTCATTATAACTGCTAATTGTCAGTTGTCACATTTCTCAAACTTAAATGAAGGGCAGAAACCCTTAAATAGTCTTAAATAATATGAAAACTTTAGAGTGGGTGGTTGGGGTCAAAAGCTTCACAGAATTCATAGCAGGCTGTAAATTTCTGCTCTTTGCAAAAAGGATGCATATATTTCACAGGTGAGGTGTCAAAAAACCACATGTTCACAAATAAACACATGTAACATCATGGGAATAATATGTGATAACGTGATATCATTTTCTTTCACGATTGCATGGTTTAACATGTGATTACACTTTTTCATGTGATCACACGTTTCTATCACATGAGTACGTTTTACGTTACCACACATTTTTCAAGTATCATGTTTTTTATGTGGTTGATTGTTTTCTTGTAAATTTTTTTTTCCATGTGATCAGGCATTTTTCCACACGACTGCATGTTTTCACAAGTGATCACATTTTTTCACGTGTGATCACACCTTTTTCAGACATTTTTTCACATGCATTAGAAAAATAATGTTTGTGTTATTCACATAAAATTCATGAGTTTTTCTGTAAGGGTGTTAAATATCCCTTATATTTGCTTTTTTTTTCATCAGTTTGCTTGTAGGAAGGTTTTTATTTTGCTTATGACATGTTATCATCATGCTCAGCCTAGATCAAGGTGCATTTAATATGTTATTGTTATTGGTGTTGATGGTGCTTTGTATTAAAATGAGCAGACTGAGATTTTAGTTAACTGGCATAAAATAGTTTAGTACTATTACCTGGCATAAAGTAGTTTATAAAGAGTGCATAAAACACGAGGTGCCCAGCAAGCAAAACATGACTCTCTGATTGAAAACTACAAAGTAGGAATCTCATCCACAAAAAAAACACATACTGATAATCAGTGTGAAACTTCCATTAGCCAGTTCTGATGTAGTGAAAGTGAGACTGTCAGCTTAGGAGTCTTTATAAAAAAAGGACATTAAATTCTCAAGATTGAAGAGATTCTTCATGTCAGAGGTGATTCTTTGTATGACTCTAAAGAAGCTATTAAATATTGGTGCTTTATTTGTGAGATTGTCACTAATACCGATAAATCTGCAGGACCTCAATATCAGCTAATATATCAGTCAGAAAGCAGAATGCATGTACAGCCACTGTTACAACCATATTAGGTGAAGGCTGAGTGAGTGTGGAAGTGTCACCTGCTCTGAGTAGGAGGGCATTACTGCACTGTAGTGAGATATAGGTCTTCTGGTTAATCTCTGCACTGGCCCACCTGCTTAACCCCATGCTGATAAATGAAAGAGCTGAAGTTCAGGGCTTAACTGTGCTCCCACGTTTCCATCACCGTCAGACATCACAGCACAGCCTGGCTGTCACACTGCATTCTGAAGAGTGTGGATTTCTGGGCCAGTGTAAAGTAACAGTGTTGACTGTCACTGTAGGGTAAGACATGCTCCTCTCCCTCTCATCTGTCTGCTACACTACAAAACCAATCCTTCTAATGATTAATTAAAGATAAGCCTTAATTAGCAGGGGAAACACGGCTAGAGAAACCCAGCCAGCTTCTAAAAACTGCGACCACGGATTTAAAAAAAATTCCACCTCGCGGCTTTAATTAGAATGGAGAAATAGTGTTAAACCTTCGAATGAATAGTAACTTTTTCTCTGCTTATGTGAGATCAGACAACATGAAACAAAGACCACTTCTACATTTTTCATTAGCTTTTAAGCTTTCCATTTTTCATGACTTGAAGGAGTTTAAGCACTCCTCACGAGAGGGAGAGGGAGTAACAGGGAGTAACACAGATGTTCACGTTCGCACGTCTGTGTGTGTGTGTGTGTGAGTCTGCATGTGATAAATTATGAAAGCTCAGTTTCTCAGTTCTGGGGTTAGCGAGAGTACTAGTGAGAGCCATGTGTGCAAACAGTTTTCCCAACACAGTCTATTCCACTGAAATGCAAACCTGAAATGGTGCAGTGTTTAAACTAATAAGTATATGCTGGCAGTCAAAGAGAAAAGATCTAATGACATTTACTGTCTGTCCAAAAGTTAGTAGACTAGAGATGGAAATCGGCCAACTCTCCTAAAATATTTAAACACCTCCGAAACGTTGGCCAATAATCTTACGGGAGCGTTTTTCTTACCTTAACCCCAAAGGTTTATTACACACTTCTATAACCTAAGAATAGCTCAGCCTGTTTGCACTGTAGTCCCTGTAGTTGATGAATAATAAGACTGCGGTTAAACTATCCTAAGGAAAATGACAGTTAAGAACGTTTATGCAATGGCTGAGAGATAATTTAAGGGCAGTTCTACAGGGGAAATGTAAGGGTGGATGACAATTTCACTTCAGGATGACTTAAGGATTTTATTTGTGCGACAGACTTAAGGGTGATCTTAAGGGAAAATTCAGCTTAAGGCAGGCACAAGTCTAGCAGAACTAGCAAAGACGTAACACAACACCAACAACGTTACCAAACTGTGAAGATGCCAAGTGGTTTCCTCATCTAATGTCTACGCTGAAATACTGGAGGAAGACACAGAAGAGTGGAAAACAACAATCCAATCACATTTCATTTGTATAACTAGCAGAGGGAGCCATTCCATGCAAAGCCAAATGCTACGTACTCACTGCTGTCTTCTCTTTGTTTTCTTTGCACTGTCAGAAAAAAGTACTGTGCAGGTACATTTTTCATTCATCAAGGTACAAACAAGATAAATGCACCCTTAAAGGTACAGCAGTGGTTTTAAGGTCCAACTGTGTTTCTAAGTTTTCCCAGTGGGAAAGTATATATTAGTACCTTTTCACAACCTAATGTTGTAAAAGAGAACAATAAAATGAAAAGCCTGGAGACAGGACAAGGTGTATGGAGTGAAAAAAGTTAAAAATCATATTTGCAGTGGATTATGGTACAATTATATTTACTAACCGAAGGGACGGAAGATGCACCCTTGAGGGCACCACTCCAGAGACGATTTAGCACATTTTTTCTGTATGCTTGTTTTTCTTTTCTTTGTGTGAGATACGGTGGTCACTTCACTTGTAGACGGCCAAGCTTAAAGACCTCCATACAATCAAGAAGTGAAATGTTTTACATTGGCCTGCACTGAAAATCTAAAGATAACTAGGTAGCATTCCGTCAGACCAATCAATGAGCTTGATACAATTATGATGTTTTACAACAAATAACAACAATATCTGTCTCATTTTAAATTAGGTTTGGCTAAATGTCTACATTGTAACAAATTTGGTTGAAACAAACTCTGGTTGAAAACCGCTGTCCTAGACAACATTGAGATCAGATGGAAAGACAAACTTTTGGAAAAAACATTTGCTGTCCAGCTGCGCAGATGATTCAGCTGAGCAAAAGAGGCCTGTAATCTAAAGTGTCTCCTCTTGAGTTTTCAGATATGTCAATACAGTCAAGCACTGTGCTGAAATTTGCAAAGATAATAACAGTCACGTTTATCTGCAACTGAACAAAAGACAGGAATTTCAATACAAACTCAATCATTTCTCATTTCAGTTTGAGTAACTAATGTCATTTTTATCTCATGGCTCCTTTTTGTCTGATGCTATTTCACCTAAGACATTTTGGGGGAATCACCATTAAGTCCCCTGAGTCATCCTAAGAGCAAAATTTGAGCAATACAGTTTTCTACTGGGTTCATACTGGCTGCATGAACAGCATGACAGTGCACCTGAGATGCATTCTAGAAGAGGTATGTAATGTGCTGTACTTCATTGATCCTACAAGGGAAATTTGTCCTGTTGCTTCTTGACTATGTCTAGTCTGGGAGCAGCAGAGCCTTGCCAGCAGAGCAGCGTCAACTGGGGGGGTTTAGTGTCTTGCCCAAGATCATGAGCAGGTATACACAGTCAGTCCTGACATTTGAATCTGCAACCTTCTGGTTGAAGGCTCACAACTCCTAGTATCTAGAAAACTGGCACTGAACATGTGGCATGCAGCATGTGTGCCACATATAGGGAAATAAACTATAGAAACCAACGAAAATGTAACAGAAAAACAAGTAGCTTTACACATACACATTTTCTGGTAGGTCTACCAAGCTTGGAATCACAATCACAAGTCACAAAGCTGCCGAGGGTAAATAAATGTACTATGCTCTTTTACTAATTATCCTTTTATAAATATTTTATTTAGCAATGTAAATGATTAGACTATTTAACCATTTGTAAAAAGAGTAGGTCTATAGAACTTGCTTGCTGCAGTGCTGCACAGTGCTAACTCTGTATGACTGCTGCGTCACTCGTGTAACGGAAAGGCAGTCTGAGTGAAACAGGCCTTAGGCTCATGTGCCGCTGCTGCAGAGTGTCCCATTCTCTTGGCACTGCTTTCTATGGCAATTATAGTTGTGTTTGAAGAACTGAACACCTCTGTCAGCAGTAAGAACTCCTCAAATGAGCTGAATTCACACATAACGTACAGTCATGTGCAAAAGTTTGGTCACCCCTGATCAAATGACGTTTTGTTGATTTTGTTGAAGTTAACACATCCTCTATAGAGAACATATCTGCACATTTTAATACACAATTAGTGTTTATTTGCTGAATTTAACACATTGGAATGAAAAATTAAATATAAAATGTGGTCTGTGCAAAAGTGGTGGCACATTTTATATTTTAGGTTTTATTTTTCTCTAACTTTTGAACTCAGCAAATGAATATAAATTGTGCACTAAAATAAAAAAAAGCCATATTTAAGTTTGTTCCCTAGAGGATGTATAACTTGTTTTCACTTAGAAAATTGATCATAAGTGCCTACACTTTTGCACATGACTGTACACTGTGTGTGAATTCAGCTCCTTTGAGGAGCTCCTACTGCTGACAGAGATGTTCAGTTCTGCAAACACAGCTTGTATAATCACCATAGAAAGCACTGCTAATAGAATGGGACATACTGCAGCAGCTGCAAATGAGCAAACTGTATGTCATACATTGATTTTTATGTACTTGAAGGTGCTCTATCCCTTCTGCTCACTTAAAGGAGCAAAAAAATGACTGCATAACTCAACAAGACTGCAAAATGCAACACTGCTCTTAAAATGAAAAAGTGGTTTGAGGTCAGGACAGTTAAGACAACCACCAAATTTAAATCCAAGTGAGATCTTTAGGGGCTACTTTTGAAAATGTGCGGAGAAGAAGAATCTAACCACTATGGATGGTTTGTGGACAGCAGTAAAAACACAGGGAGGCACAATTATGGCCTCCCAAATATAATTATTTAAGAAATTCTTTAAGGCCAAAGGAGGTCCTACAAAATACTGACAAGTAGTGATCAAACATTATTTTTGACGGCCAGTTTACTTATAAAAATAGAGCTATTAAAACATTCTTTTGAAGTGATGTGATGACATAGAAGAGACGCTTCTGATTCCCTACAGAATCTTTTCAAAGAGCTGTTTCTGTACAGGAGATGTGAAGAAGAAGCTAAGCCACATTATTTAATCGTTCTATACCAATTACAAGTTTTCCTTGAACCGTATGTGCAAGTCAAGAACCATTTAGCAACATATATTTTTAAGAGGATGGTGAAATTCAAAAGAAAGTACAGAAGAATGTCATCACTGATTAAACATTAAATACCGGCGTCCCTGCAAAAGGGGCGTGGTCACAGTTCTCCTGCCAGGAGCGGTTGAGGCTGAGGAGGAAGTCCTGGAAGAAAGGGTGTGTCTTGTTGAAGACGGAAAAGCCAACGATGTTCACCCGCTGGTCGGCTACATCGTCCAGTCGCAGCAGAGAGAATTCCTGTGGTGGGAGAGAGAAGAAAGTTTTAAATGATCAAAATGGGTTAAACTTCCGGAGGTCAATAACCTGACATGATAGGTCCCTCAGTGAGGCTAAAGAAGTGGCTCCAAATCCAGGTCCAAGTCTGGTCTTGCATATTTTGATATTTTCCCTGCTGTAACACCCAATTCTAAATGGCTAGTTAACAATGAATCATTAATTAATAACTGAATGTTGGTTAAAGACATCCTGAGTACGTGTTGCCTGCACAATTACTGTTTATTTGTTGGATTTAACTAATTGACAAAAATAGAACATAAAATGTTCATAAAAAGTTATGGGCTTTTATATTTTATATTTAATTTTTTCCAGTATGTTAAACTTGGCAAATAAATACAAATTGTGCAGTAAAATTTGCAGAAAAATGCCACATTTAAAGGGAATTCTAGAGAAACTAACAGAGTCAGAATTAATCACAGTGGTGGTGATAGGAACCAGACGTCTGATGGGTTTAATGTCTTAAAAACCACAGTCACAGAGAGCTGCTACATAACATATTTATGAATACTCTGTCTGATGCCCAAGACATTGTTTTATGACAGTTTTTGTATATGATTTTGGCCTGACACATTCTTTTAATTCATTAATGACAGAAGGGTACATGCAGGGTGTTGTAAGGCAAAATGGTACATAAAAAAACATTTTTTTCTGATGTAGAATTATTTTACCATTATCAACAACACATATCGTTGCTGTCCAAACAAAAATATGTATCTCCATTTCAATTTTACTTCTACATAATTTCAACACAGTCTTTTACATTTTGTAAATTTTTTATGATGATTGGACCAACAGAAATTCCCCAAAATGACTTGGAATAGAAGTTCTATCTCTATTGACTTGACTAAAATGATTTTGCCTTCTCCTGTAAAGTTATAATTTGGAGATACATGTTTTTCTTTGGACAGCAACAATATATAAACTCATGTATGTGTAAATTCACTGGTGGTTTTGGATAGTAAATTAAATGGCTATTTTTGTGTTGCAGACGTCAGAGACCCCTGGTTCACATCACCACCACTGTAAAGACATCTGACTCAGTAAGGAATCCCAATACGACTCAATCATTTCTCATTAAAGACTAAGACCCTGTTCAGTTTGAGTAACTAAAGTAATTTTTATCTCATGTAATTGTATCTCCTTTTTGTCTAATGCTATTTCTCCTAAGAAATTTTGGGGGAATCACCATTAAGCCTATACATAAACATTTGTAAAGTGTAGAAATCAGGACTATCATTGTAGGGTTATAAATACAAATGAATAAAATGAATAAAAAACAGATATTTTATCACAGTAGCCCACTGTCTCCAAATTGTCCTGCTTTTCCAAGAACAATAAATATATCAGCAAATACTGATTTAAAATGTCTTTCAAATCTAAACATCTGTCTGACACTGAAATTTTTAAAGGAATTATCTGTTGATATTGATGTGATGATATGACTGACATCATCATGCACCTCTATAAGACAGCTCTATTTTTCGGAATGTAGTACGAATAATTTGAAAACAACTACAAAACTAATACGCAAGTTAAGTTTTATCTAAATGTGGGCTCATGTAAAGCTTTCTTATGTTTGAAGTGGTCTACAGGCCCTTCCTGAGTTGATGTGGGTGTTTTAGAGCAGAGAAAACACTAAAACTTGCAGGGCTAAGGGTACACCAGGACCAGGAATGGAAACCACAAGTCTAAATAACTCTGCAGTCCCCAAATGACAAATCATTTCAGATGCCATCACACCCACCACTCTGTCATCTCTACCTTTAGTAATTCATAGCTCCAGATGGTTGGGTTGCCATAAAGAAATAAGCAAAGCCAAAAGGCATTGTGGTGCGAGTCCTGTGGGAAAGTCTATTGAGATGATGAGAAAGTGATGTCTGCTGTGTTGTCGGCCTGCATCCTCAACACGGGCAATATCTCAGCAGAAGGTTAATAGAGATGTCCCTGCAGTCCGGAGGCTGACACTATTACAGCCCACCACTCTGACACCATCACTGACTCTAGAGACGCTGATGACAAGTTATAAAGCCAGGACCACGCGGCAAATACATCATACAGAGAAGTACAGAGAGCAGGGGACGAGACAGGAGGAGAGAGAGAGTATTCCAACATTTCTGTTTCTGTATTGATTACTAGTTATCCTTCAATTTACAAGAGAATCCTAATTTTAAATCAAATTAAATATACAGGAATAATATTATAATTATAATTCCTACAGTTATATGCAAAAAAAAAGCTTTCATCTCTTACTTTCCAGTCAAAATGACCATTAAGTACAAGTTATCTGTTTTTCAGCATCAGGAAAAAGGAAGTAGGAAAACCATACAGTATTTAATATTGTGGTGGCTGCCACTTCCTCTGTGTTGCAGAAGGGACTTCAGAGGTGTGGTATGTAAAGCTGTTACATTTCCCCCACTGAAAATGACGCTAAATGTTCTGCTTTAATGTTGTTAATACTGTTCTTCAGTTTGAAGCGTGTGTATGTGTTGTTTGTGTTTGGGCTTGTGTTTAGTTAATGTGGGCTGGTTCTGTACATCCTTCCACTGTGAGAAGTCTCATCTCTGAGACATCGCAACTGTACTAGCTATAGGTCTGAAGGCCCATTACTGAGAAAAAGAAAGAAAGAAGAAGAAGAAGAAGAAGTCAATGTTGATTAGATGGTGAAACCGGACATCTGACATGTGGAGTATGGTTTTATGGACTGATAAGTCTAAATTTGTAATTATTATTTGGAATATAAGCAGAAAATGCAACCAACTTTGAAGACTGATCTTTGGAGGTATGGAAAAATATCCCTGCTGATTTCTTTAAAAAACTGAAAATATGTGACACTACATTTAGGTGCTGAAGGTTCTGTGTAATTTTCTGTTAAATATGTTTTCTGCTTTTATACTCTGACATGGAAAAATGAATAACTAAATGGCCATTTTGACCGGGAATGAAATAAATTAAGTGTGGTCTCTGACTTTTGTACAGTACTGTGATATATAATCATATAATGTGAGAATCTAACATTATATATATACATATATATATACATATATATATCCAAAGGAAAGATAGAGAGAGAACAAGAGAGACAGCACGGCAGAGAGACAGGAATAGAGAGAGAGAGATAATGAAACAAAGTGGAAAAAGAGATAGATGAATAGATAGAGAGAGAAGGGGGTGGGCTGTATAGGGACTGCTGCAGTTGTGTGAATTTCCACAGAGACCTAGCGAGACACACAGAGGCAAATCCCTTGTCTTAGATGCGGTAGCATGGAGCAAGGCTGGAGAAGCCTAGATCAAAGCAGGAACACTGCGGCCCTCTCATTACCAATACAAAGCCAAGACCAGGCCACAGCCAGCACACACACACACACACACCGTACAGGATGAAAGACTGCACTGAGAGAGGAGGATCGAGGGAAGGAGAAAGAGGGAGGGAGGTGTCGTGGGAGCGGAGAAGAGGAATGTACTGCAGGGCATTCAGGAGACAAGCTTGTTTCAGTATTCAGTACAGACGAGATAAATAGATAGATAGATAGATAGATAGATAGATAGATAGAGATAAAGAGAGAGAGAGAGGAGCAGAGCCTCAGCTGAATTTCTCTCTCTCTCCTCCTGCTCACACTACAGAGATTCCTCTTGGATATGTTTGGAGGTGACACAGCCTCCCCGTGTCACTCAGGGACAGCCATCTCCACGTCTGATTTAAACAGAGGCCCGTCTGCCACTCCTGATGACAAGCAATTTAGACTCAGAATGTTACAGCAGCCTGCTGAACCTACTGTGTAATCTCCTGATGCGTTCTCGGTAAATGCGCCGACTGCTCTGTTTGTCAGAGCTGTTTTTCTCGACGTTAGGACTGTTTCTCAGAATCCTGCTAGAGTAGTGTTTCTTAGTTTCAGCCTCAGATGCTCCCACAGACAATTTGTTACTTACTGTAAGCTAAGATCACATCTTTTGGACTTTTAGTACTGTGTGTGCTTCTGTGCACTGGTTTTTATCAGTCTGACAGGAAACTTTTTAGCAAGCTAATTGCTAGACAGTAGTAAGCAGTTGCCTGCTTTCCACACTGTGACAACAATGAGCCTTTATGTAGATGCAGGGTTGAAAAAAATGCAGTTAAAGTAGTTAGTAGCAATAAATGACTTTTACTATGTTTGCTGATGGACATTTTGTCTTATGCAAGTCTGTTTTTGTTGCAGCATCATTATGATGATGGTCTGCCCCTACACATCGCTACACATTATTTTATAATGATGGTATTTTGGATGTCATTCACATAACCCCCATCCTGTCAAAGTGGGATGGTCATTGGCCACTTTGAGCGACAAAACCCACCAGACCCTCTGACGACTGTCTGAAGTTTGTCTTGTGAGGTGAAATTCGTTGTTGTCAGAACAAAACCTTGTATCTCCAAAATTACAACTTTACAGGAGAAGGAAAAAACCTTCTTTACTTTCAATGCAAGTCAGTGGAACCAGACTTTTTTCTACATTTTTGGCCATTTCTTTTGGTCCATTCATCATGAAATTTATAGACGATATAAAGGCCAACAGGTACTTTCAAATTATGTCAAAAACTGAACAACGCCAAAAATGGAGATACAAGGTTTTGTCCCGACAGCAGCGAATTGCTTAGCTGAAATCAGCCAGGTAAACCTCTGGACATCAGTAACATGCTTATTAGTCCAACTAATTAGCTAATTAACAAGCTCTTCCTGAGATGTAGATGTGTTAAGGCCCCATAACACTTCTATTGTTGTCACCTGCAAAACTCTCCTTCATGTTCAGCCATGCTGAACTCTAAAACACCAATTTGCAATATTGAACAAGAGCTCAACTGCCTAGTTTGCTTTGACCTCTGAAGGGAGGGCCCTTCGTATAGCAGCACTGAAGTTCTTAAATGGAGGACACTCTAGCATTTTAGCAGTGTCTAGGTAGTGCATTTTGTAGAATCCGCCCCATTCCGCT